TATATATATATATATATATATCAACGAATTCAACGACTATAATAACAAATTATTACCATTTTTAACTTAAAACCACCAAGTATTCATTAAAGTTTAAACTTAATATTTTAATAACCATGAATACTTGGTGGTTTTAAGTTAAAAATGGTAATAATTTGTTATTATAGTCGTTGAATTCAATGCTGCAAAACGAACAAGCATTATGGTATTTATTTTATTTTCTCGCTACCGCTACCACGGTAGACAGAAAGTTATGAAATGTTGCGCGCAAAAACCGTGAATTTTCAACAGAAAAAAAATTATTACATTCTCTAACCCGTGGTGTTGCTAGAATCCATATTTTGTGGGTCCTTGATACCGAAAAATCGATTGCCGGCAAAACGTCTGTTCGTAAACAACGCTAGCGGCTACCGTTCAGCCGATTTTCTCCAAAATTGATACTCCCTAGGCAGAATTTTGCAGGACTCATTTTCTTTAAAAACTTTGATTTATCGAAAATGGTGCAAATTACATAACTACGGAACACAATTTACACAACTAGCATTTGGATTTATCCATTTTCCCGTTACTAGGACCCCGCAATAAGAGTTTTTCTGCCGAAATTTCGCTGTTTTTGCGAGCAGCATTACCTAACTTTCTCTCCACTCCGTAGGGAGAATTAATTAATAGTTACTGAAAAATTTGGTTCCGTGTCTGTTAATAATGACGATTTACACTAACGTATACGTACACGAGTATGGTGAAGAAACGCAACTTTCAGAAATCAGCTGATATTTTGTTGTTGTTTTTTTCTGTTGAAATAAATTAATTCTTCCACGACATTTTTTTATGAAAGATATCACTCACTTTCAACATATAGCATAAAAGCATTTTTATAAAAAAGTGGAGCCACTCGATTTTCAGGTGTCACCAATTTAAATTTTATTTCAATTAGTAATGGAAATATTGGTTAAATGTTAAATACCCCCCTTCCCTCTGACACAAATGCAGACTGCGACTAGGCAATCAATGTATTTATTTAGCGAGATTCTCGTCGCGGCTCTGATGTGCTGCTGCTTCTCAACGCTGACTGTGGTCCCGCAGATGAGACGACTTCGTGATCTGCTCGCTCTATTCTTAGCGAAGGTTTTTATCCTTTGTCCAGAGTGCGGCTGGTTGCCTGCGCCAGAGACGCAGTGGGCTTTTCCTCTGCGCGTGGCTTCCTAGGACTTTTTCTTTTTTCGTCTTCCTCTTTTATACACGTTACAAAAGGCCACAATGCTAACGAACGATAATGTCTTACATTTTGCGTTTAGAAGAGAAGCAACCTACGATCATTAACACTTTTTCATTCCACATCTTGCTTCGCGTTAACAAAAAGTATAAAATAGGAATAGATATTTATATCGTTTACTTGATAATATAAAAGATACATAATTGTATTTCACAAAAGATCGAAAAATATTAGTCAATCAGAAGTATTATAGACCTACAAAATTGTTCGGAGAACCATTTTATACTCGCTGTAGCGAGGGAAAAATTTATTTATTTATTTCACCGTATTATATTTAATATATGATCTATAATTTTGCAGACTTTGATTTTTGTAAGTTGGGTGTAAAATGGTGAAATAGTATATTTCTAAACTTCGTAAGTTTAGGTAGTAGTAGGTATCAAACGTCACTTTAAAACTTTTGTGTCTGAATGTAATAATGTAAAGGTACTATATACCCTATTGATGCAGAGATGCTAAAACGCTTTCTCGAAAATGAAAATGGCCTTCAATTATCGTCTAAAAAGTAATTGCAACTCGTCGCCCACCTATTTTACGTCATAACTGTTACGTCATGTCTGAAACTCCTTGAAACGCACTACTTGCGCGGACGCGTCACACGTCACGGACCCTCAGACAGTACTGTGTTATCTTGAAGTAGCGAGTTGTGCGGTTTTGCTTATCATTTCTCCCATCCATCGGACATGATATCGATAACTTCTTTTGACTGTGACCATAGTCAGGTAATCATTAATTTAGGAAAGCTGAATTGATTCAGAAATAACTTCTGTATGATTAACCTCTAGCGAGCTCTAATAAGCACCAGTGTTGCAGCCTGTGTAAAAGGAACTTGGATCATCGCCCAAAACATTAATTTAGCTGGCCTTTGTCTGTTGTCTATGGATAAGGCCAGCAAAGCATTGAAAAGGTATGTTAATTCCAACATCACACATGATTTTAGTTACTAAAACAGCAAATGATATTAAGAAGAGATTTTAGAGGATGCATTTAGACCGATGCAGTTGGCTATAAAATGTTGAGCGGCAAGTTTTCTATCGATTGTATGAAAGGAGTTTGACAGATCCAAACAAAGGCAAAATTTGTATGACTGTTGTCAATAATTTAATTAGTAAATTCATAATTTTCTTCTCTCCCTTGATGAATATGACGTTTTGTAACTTACATCCATCTTTTTTTCTCTATTTACAAAGTATTTAAAAAAAATGAATCTTAACTTTATAATTTAACTCTCGGGTATCCATTTTTCTTTTTGGACAACTTAAGTACATTTTCAAAAGGTTTTATTTTTCACATATTCTAGAACACGGAACATTCAAAGACACATCATACCATTAATACCAAGTTAGAATCAAAATTATTTACAAAAAGTTTTAGCAATGTTCTGTCTGAAATAAGAATACCTTAAAAAAACATTTTTATATTTTCTGATATATTCCGTTTGCCTTTATTTTTATAAGAGTACTTCTTTTTACCCGTTTCTTCCCCCCTTCCATTTCTGTTTATTACTGTCTTTTTACTAGGTATCTTTTTTGTCTTTTTCAAATTACAACTATTTTGGGTGTTTATCTGCTCCACCTCAGTTCACACTGATCCTCTTCTCCTTGAAGTGAGGATGTAGATTTTAATGGATATGTTTTTCCTTAATTTGTGTATTTTGGTTTTATCCTGCTAATTTTTTGAATTATTTGATCAATCTTAAAATGTTTTGGTAAGTTATCTCCTCTCTGTTTATATTTTTTTGCTTACCTGTTTTAATCTGTAATTTCATCTCGTTACTGTGCTTATTTATTCTTAATACTTTCTTACTAAACTATAGAATCAAATTGGTCCAATATAAATTAATTTATAATTGTCTTCTAGAATTGTGGAAAGTGAAACATTTTTAGGAAAATTTTGTACTTTAATTGTCCAAAAAGAAATTAAAAAAAACAAAACAGAGTGTTTATTTATTAGTATTAATGACAATAATATAATTTAATATAGTTTTGACTGTTTGAATTTAAACTTGCTCCTTCAAGTACAGTGATTTGAAGTCTAAAGTGATTTTACATGGTTTTCTCTGTTATTTTGTTTTCTTAAATGCAAATTCTTTCATCGACTTGTTATCACTCCAATCACCTTATATTTATTTTAAAATAATTTTTATTTACAAATATTAATTTTTTTAGGAGTAGTGTTCGTTTGAAGTCCTTAAGTGGAGGACACGGAAATTTACGGATGGTTATTGCCCAGCTTCGTGATGTACGATCATCTGCAAAAGCATTTATGCATGTTCAAACTACGGCTTCAGAAGATCTAGTAAAATGGGCATCCAAAAATGAAAATCAAGCCATCCAAGACACATTTGCACAACTTTTTGAACTCAATACATTATGGGCGGAAGTACAAAAGGAATTCACTGGTAAATGTGTGCTAATTTTAATAGAAAAGTATTATTTTAGGGTGTGGGGTATTGTTTTGCATGTGTTTTATGAATATATGTGTTTCTGTTTCAGAAAGCCTGAAAGGCTTTATTCATCAGTTTGAATTGATATTGGAAGGAGAACAGCATGTTGATGTGGGAAGAAATCATCTTCAGGCAATTGAACAGCGAGAACAGAAGTTGGAAAAGGATCTAGTGAAAGCTCAACGTAGACACATTCCTGGAGCAGATGTTAATCATATACAGAGAAAGTTGGCTGAAGAAAAGCAGGCAAAACAAGTGGCCCAGCAAGAAGGTATGTACAATGGATTAAAATTTTGAGTACACAACATAGTCAATAGAAATTATAAAAAGAAGTCATCAAAGATAAGATTTGTGACTTACACATAGATTTATAATGTTTAATGATCTATTCTTTGCGAGGTGTTTTATCCCTGCAATTTTGTGCATATAAACATTTGATTAATGTAGTTGGAAGAAATACTTATTGTGCTTTGGATATGAATGTTCCATCCCAGTACTATCTCATTTATTGATAAATGTCATTCATTCTAAATTGTAGTGATGCATTATAAAAGTAAAAACTGTGTATGATATTTTGATCAATCACAAAAAAATATAAGATTATGTAGGTAATTTTGAGTTCTGCCAACAAAAGTTCATCCTCTTGTCTTTTCATGTTAGAAGTGTAAAATAATTGAATCCTTCTTTGTTAATTGTTTCTATGGTTACTGTCTAATTAAAGCTTAAGTATTGCCAAATCTAAGCTATTCGTTAAATAGAATACTTCTTTAGAAATTGGTTTTAAAAATACCATTATGCTATTAAGAAAATAAAAAGATGGATTCAAACTTGGCAAGTATCAGTTCTGGGAAGTATATATTCAATTTCTAGCTTACAATAATAATTGTGGTTGTGTGATGGGGAGTACTAAAAAATTGAAGTGTTTTTATAAAATCATACATTGTGTTTTATCAAAAAATTTAAATAGAATATAATAGGTTAAGTACATCTGATAATTATTTTGCATTGACACAGATTCTGAGATGATCTGTGATGTAATATGCAGCAATATGCATATTTAGTTTCCACCTCTTGTACTTAATTCATGATTAACACTGGTGATTTATTGGTGAGAAATGGTTAAATATGGCAGGGCTGCTATATCTGCTTCCTGCTATATGTAAACTAATGGCAAGTGGAAATAGGATTTTTTATAATAAACTGTTCTTAATATCATTTGTAAACTAAACATCATGATGTTCATAAGATTCTTTAGACTATAGGGTTGGCAATGGTTCTTGTAATGATCTAATTGTATGGTTAAGTTGGGGTTGTGGAATTGTGCTTAAGATTACAATATCTGCTGGAAGATTGTTTCACCTATCTACAGCTCTCTTGAATAAGACCAATTTGTATAGATTTTTTTGAAATTGAGTATTAGTGAGCTTTAATTAGTAATCTCATCGATGAAGGAAGGAAATACGTTGTAACTATTGTGTTCAATATAGGCAAATGAAGAATCTCTAATTATCTGGAAGGTTTGAGTAAGATAGTCTTTTCTCTTTAAGAGATTGAATATTTTCAACCTATCTTAATAAGAATGATTTTTGAGTAAAGATGAGATCTTTGTAGTTTTACATTGCTATTTTTGTCCAATGTCTTCTGCAATATCTGGGACTAGATTGAAAATTATTGGTGTGAGAGCGGACGTGTGGGATTTTGAAGACATTGCAAATGATGTAGTATACAGATGGCTCATGGAAGCTGTTCCCTTCGAATCCTGAACTGTTGCAGATATTGAAATGCTGTTTTCACTAAAATGAATGTATGCAAGGGGAATGTAAGATTATGTATAGTATTAAACAATAGCTACTTTAATTTAAAAAATAGCAATGCAACTTTGTTTTAAATAGAACCCTTTATATTTCTTCAGCCCATGATAATGAGCGAGATGAGGAGATTTCATATGAATGCATATTGCTCGATAATACATAACAATATATTTGGGACATTTAGTTTTTAAGTTTAGGCCAACTGTTAATATTCTGCCTTGCCGTATGGAAATGATTGGTTTCCCAGCAGTATTGGCAGAATCAGCATGGTTGTTTGAGATGTTTATCCCAAGATCAGATTGTAAACTTATGATGGACTAATGTATTTTCTTGCATCGTGAATAAACCGTTTTTAAGTTTTCATTTGACAAGTCATATTGTGCGTTTTGATTTTGTTTCCCTATGTGCAAAATAGTGCATTTTATTGGGTTCACTCTTAGATTTAGATTTTGTTTCAGATTTATATTACAAGATCGTTTTAGTACAACATTTAATATTTCTAATTCTCCAGAAAAAGGTTTATTTCTCATTAGTAATTGTAAGATTCGATCTAATGACTTAAATAGTGTTGCATTATTGTTAAATTTGTAACTTTTCAGTTTCTTTGCAACCATTGCTTAGATCTGAAAAGTAGGTCCTATACCCTACTGTTTTATGTGCAGACGCTGTGGTTTTATTTAAATGAAATATAGGACTGTTTTAACAATAGGATGTCCTTGACATGGGGTCCTCTTTAGCAGCTTAGAACAGTTACATGATTTGCTGCGTACCCAATGAAATGTATCTGGTGAGATGAAATAATTGGGATGAGAAGTTTGGGGAATAGAAGTGAATGGTGATAGAGGTGAAGCAGATCATGGAAAAGAGATTACCTTAATTACTTGTTGAAGACCTGTCATACTGACTGCTCAATTCGAGGTATTTTCTTTGACATTTTCAGTCATGACCCGCATCCAAGAAAACGAGGCTGTGAAAATGATTCGTGTCAAAGAAGGACTGCTGCAACTCTCTGAATCCTATCTTCAGTTGGCTCGGAAATGTCATGTTGTATTTGAAGCTCATCGAGATGTAGCCCAGCAAATCCCTGATGCTCAGAATAGAAATATTCATGAGATTCAATATGAAGGTTTGTTGGAGGAAGTGTTCATTAAACAAATTCAAAAGAAAATAATCTGTAAGACTTAAAGTGTTGGTTTATAAATAAATTTCAATTGGATTGTTACTGCGTGGCCCAGAAACATGTTTTGTTGCATCATTTTCAGGTTGTGTAGCAGCACAGCAGTCTGTAACTCGAGCACGAGAACAGTTGCGACAAGGAACACCAAATCGAGTGCAACCTTGTGCACCAATTCCAGATGAACCCCCACCTCCATATTCAGCATCTCAAAGCCCTGTTGTGGGATCTGCTCATACTAGCATGGAATTAAGGTTTTATTTTTCACTTTATTAATATTCTGTATGCTTCATTTCTGATTCTGGTTTTGTTTATTCTGTGAAATCTGTAATGTGTGGATATTCAGTATACAGTTAAGAATATGACAACTAAAAACAAATTATAGTTTAAAAAATTGAAAATGTATTAACTGTACTATCTATAAATTTTATGAAGGACAATCACTGTTGAAGTGTATTGCATTACTTAACAATTATTGTAACAGTGGATTTGTATATTTTTCTTATAAATAGAAACATTACTATAAAGTGGGAGAACTTTGTGACAAGATTAGCTGTTTTCATGAGGCAAATAATTCATATTGCCAATAAAGATGGAACTTATCTCATTATTATAATCATATAAATTCGAACTTTCATGACAGACGAGATGTACATACTGCATTGCAGTAAGATGTTTACCCTTGTTAATTTAAAGATTCACAGAATAGAAAGTTAGTCCCTTCTGTCAAGGGGTGGATGCAGGCATTCATTTTGGGGGGGCTATCATAGATTTTTGTCATATAATATACATTTGTTACTTTACTGGATATTATTTTTGTAGTGTATATTCGATACTATACAGTATTATTATTTAAATAATTACATAATTCTAACATGAATAAATATTTAAATCAATTTTGCCAAATAAAAGAAGGTAACAAACGAGCCCCCTCCCTCCCCTTCTGAATACTCCCTTATTATCTGTAGAGCTACAGACAGTGTAATCATATCTTCCCTTGCACTTATTTCATGTTCACACAGTTCTACTTTTATACCATTTATTTAGTTTTTATGGAGCAGAAAACATCTTATAGATTTATAAGACATTCCAATAAAACTCCACTCTCTAATAAATTGAATGTTTTTTAACTCAAGAAAGAGTGAAATAAAGATAAAATACAAAAATAATTAGGTAATTGCTGATCAAATGGCCAAGATTGCTTAGGCAGTAGTGCTGTAGCGGTCTCGTACCAGAAAATCTTGGGTTCGAGTCCCACCACAGGCATGGGTGGGTCTGTATGTGTGTGTTGTCCTGTCACCCGTCATAGTCATCATCATTTCATCTTCCATACCTCCAGGACTAACAGCCCTGGAGGATAATAATCGGATCCAGCTAAATGCTGATCCCCAGATAAAGTTGCATGCACCTGCCACCAAGATAATGGTACTGAGCCTGGTAAATGCAGGGTGCATGCATGTGTGGTCCAAGTCTGCCTGTTCATTTCTGGTATATCAGACATCTCTTTTTTCTTTTTCACATGGCACATTATTTGTCACAATTTTATTACTTATGAAACAGACTCCAGCCTTAACAAATGGTCATTTCCAGTCCTTCTGTCACTTGTTTCACGGACATTTTTTCATCTACTCTTATCACAATTCCAAAATAATACTATCCCACAAAAATAGAAATGCTGTAATTTCCGATAACTTTATCCTCCATGTCAAGAAAGTGTGCTTCAGTGTCAACATTTTCTGAATTGGAAGTTGATTCTTCATCACAGCCCACAACAGAATTTGCGTAGATGACTAGTTCCTTTTCATTCTCATCTGATATCTCTGCAATATTTTTAGCACCCTTTTATTTATATATATATATATATATATATATATATATATATATATATATATATATATATATATATATATATATATATATATATATATATATAAATGAAGAAATATAAATATCTATAAATGTATATTAAATTTCTTTCTTTTTCTTCCTCTTTTCTTCTTCTTCTTCCACTGCCTTAGTGCATTCAATTACAATACTTTAAAGAATTTATTCAATCGTCAGTAGTAAATTTCCTCTGTTTCTGCTCTAACAACCACTCAGTGTGAATGTAGCATACCACTCAATTACTATAATCAAATATAATATTCATATCATATACCACCGTAGTTAATGCCATTAATCATGTAGATATACTGCTAAAAAAATATCAAAATATTAAAATGGCAATTTGATCTGATAAAATATGTTGCACATGGGCCATTATTTGCTCGGTAGTTGTTTATTTACTAATGCTAAAGCCCTCACAAATAAAAAACTAACTGGAATATAATGGCCTTCATTACCTACTTGTAAAATAAATAACTGTTCTGGCACCTCTACAAAAAGCACCTTCAAAGGTGGTTAAAAAATCTTATCACTTGTATGTGCTGAAGAGGTATTTTCATTAACCATTAAGAAGTCTTTAACCTTCTGGATAAAATAAAATATTTTGGATTTCAGGTATAGCAGTTCTCCAAGTACCCTTGTGGAAGGCGCTGATGTTCGGTGGTCTGCTGGATACGAAGATGAAGTAGCAGGCTCCATGGAAAAACTTAAAACTTAATTATCTTAAGAAAAGTTGTAAACAACTATAAGCACTTTACAAAAAGGGATTGTCATTCAAGTTCGCAGTACTGTTTAGGATGGTCATTAATTGATCTGTGTTGCAATTTATCCAAGTCATCTGGGTTTTTAGCACAAGTCTTTTGTTTTATTTTAAGCTATCTTATTTATAAATATATATATATTTAATCGCACAAGTTACTCCAAAGAAATTCAGTCACTATTACTCACCTAGAAAATGAAAGAACATCTTGACCATGGTAGAAACATACATTGAAGGGTTATGCTGCCTGCCCATATGGCAATAATGCAGCACGTTTCATAAGTTTAAAGTTCAAAGTAATATCGAGTTAAATATTCGGACTATTGTAAGTTTCCTAAGATTTTCACCATTGAGGAACCAGTTTTCAATTCTTTCATTAAGTTTAGAAAAAATTCAAACAGACGAGGAAAAACTGATATTTTTTAGAAATATTCATGGCTTCAATATGAATGTTAAACATAAGTATATCTAAATATGTTATTTGTTCTATCGTATATTTTAAATTAATATGAAATCCTTAGCTGCTAAGCCATTATTATGGACTGTGATTCTGAAATGAGAATTTCACTTTTCTTTTTTTATCTGCCAGTGATTTATTATCACTAGTCTATACTTGGACAAGAGCAGTATGAAGATAGTAGTTAGGTCTCTTTATGTGGAATTTGTGATGAATGAAATGTGTAAGTTTTGCTGGGTTCTCTATTCCTCATGTTACGTTTCAATGCATCATTACTCAATGGATTGTTGGTTACCAGTTTTTGGTGTCAGTAATTATTGATGCTAATGGTATCTATTCAAGACATGTTACATAAAGGTAATAATGAATTACCGCCAAGTTAAAAATTCAGGGGAGATTGGTACATATTTGAGCAAGTGATGCTACATACAAATTTAAATGTTCAGTTTGGAAAAACATTTTACAACCAAAAGGTACCATTTTCTGTAGATGCTTATTTATGTCACCTTCTTTCCCTTAAATCTGTTAAAGAAACCAGAGGTGAAGTGAAAAAGTGCATTTATTTTCCTTCTCTCTCTCATATACTGTAACAAAAACTCAAGTAAATCATTTGACTAGCTCTTGCATATTTATCCTAAGAAACTTTAACCATTTTTTCATATTCTTAAAAATCAAAATTTTCCTGAAATCAATGGCAAAGGCTCCTAACAGTATTTTTAAAGGTGTGTGTTATTAAATCCATGTGAGCAGATATCTTATTTTTAAAGTTTGAAATTCCTAGTTCGTTTGAGAAGGTTGGTTTGCTTCTCCTATTAGTTGTTTTCCAAAATGGGACTGCAATTAAGAACGGGCAATAAGTCATTAAGAACTCAAGAACTCCAAAATAAGATCATGCTTCTGAATTTTTGGAGTGAAAATTTACACGGAATATTATTGTAAGACTTGATTTTAAAGAAGCGTTGCAATGATCTTTTTTACTGTAATGCCTAAGGGAGTTAAATACATACCTCAAAGTTTACACTTGCATCCTTCGTATGACTTCCAATTAAACTTTGTCTTCAAAATTTCTTAATATTATTCATCACAGATCAGGCTTTGCATGAGGAAAATCTGAGATTTATTGTAGTTGTCAAGAAAAATAGTAATGTTTGAGGCAGTTGTCTGTTCCTATAGTATAGATAGTGTTTGCGGTATGGGAAAATTTAAAACTGAATCTACCTAGGGGAAGTAGGAATGCATAGTCAGCAGTTGTTGAGACTTGTACCATTGCCAACTTTAGAATTGGTACCTTGATATCATTGGAAATATGTGTATTTCTGCTGTTTTTTGTTTTTCTTTCTTTTGTTGCACTTGCACAGTTATATTAAGATTTTAAAAAATGTGTACTGACTAAGAAAAATGAACTTAGTTTCCTGTACAAATTCTAAACAACTTATAATATTCTCATCTTATTTAAGAATTGTATTACATTAAAGCTTCTACAATATATGTTGTTTTAGGGTCTATGTATGTACTACTATCATAGGAGTAACTACTATAGTGAAAGAAGTCTTTTGGAAGTATTACTTTAAAATGAAACCTAATTTTAATTCTTTAGTCCTTTAGTGATTGACATGTTGAATCAATTTGCCCTTTAAGATTACATTCTAATTTTTCCAGTTTATCCATTATCATTCCAATTATTTTAGGATCTCTTGTTGCATTCAATATTTCAGTGAAGATCTTAGTTCTCTTATAAATTTATTGTAAGAAATCATAATTCAAAAAATTACTAATCAACACTTGCTAATAAAGATTATAACTAGTAATTATCACTAAATTTTGAAGATGTTAAAGGCAAGTTGTTTTCTCTGAAAATTTTTAATGATCAAATGGTGGTGTCCTAGATTTTAAAGAACAATTGAGTCCTTTATTTCAGAAACCCGTCAAACACCAAAATCTAAAGCATGCATTAGCTGCTGATTATTGTTCCAAAGGGATAGACACTTCGTTTAGTGCATAATTGTATGAAAAATATTCATTTACACATGCTTTAATAAATAAAAATATTTTGAAAATGGATAAATTAAGAGACTTGTTCTCAGTTTTCTCGAAATGAGGAATTTGGCATTTGATGGGTTTCTGAAATACATTATTCAATTGATTTTGCTCCTGTAATGCTTCCAGTTGTGTGTAGCAGTAGGTTGAATATATTTTATTTCAAAAAGGTTCAAGATGTACATAAAATGTCCTGTAAATATCAATCACAGTGTCATGCCAAATTTATTAGTCTTTGCTGGTCAATATTATTTTCAATGAAGAAAAGCATGAAATGTTCAAATTTTTAAAATTCATCAGCTTTTATGCAAAGGATACTTTCATTTAGGTGTAGGTAATACGATTTATATTGTCATATACTAGCTGATATTTGTACAGTTTCAAGATCCTCTGAAATCCAATTTGAGAAATTAATGTGCCATGGAATGTTTCCTTCCAATTTGTGATTAAAATTAAGTTTGAAATATCGCTAAATAAGTGTGTATCATGTCAGATGAAAAGTAAAACGTGTTCTATTAATTGTAAATTGTTATTTTAAAAATTTATTTGATTACAGGAACTAAGAGATCAAGTCTTCCAACTGAAAGTTATTTTGTTTGTGCCTTTGAAATTATTCAATTTAAAATGTGTTGAATAAGATTGGCTAGTTTCAAGCAGTAATTCTTTTAAACGACAAAAATTGAAAGAGAAATGAAATTAATAACTTCAATATTTGTACGTCAATATAAATTTTTCATACACTCTATGAAGTTCCTAATACATGTTTAATAATGGGGTCCTCGTAATGGCTCTCTTGTGTCATCTACAGACTGAATAAACATTTTACTGATTTGGTTTCATAAGAAGTACATACTAGATGAATGTAGATTGCAATCTTGTGGAGAAAAAAAATAGGCTGACCTAAATATTAGCTAATTTGTATAATTACAATATATCTACTAGTTGTGTTTCTACGGGACTTAATAATCAAACCCAAATATCTGCCAATACACATTGGAATTGGTATGTTTTTAAACAAATGTTGACTGTGCATTGTTTAAATCAGTATTACAAAAATTCTTAATTAGGAATAATATATACATATTCTATGGTGTTCATAGATAGGTTTTTGCATGCTGCAAAGTGATGCAGATTTGAATGTTGTCTTATGCTGGTGCTTTTATATAATTCAGAAAAATTGCATTGTGCCTGATCTCAAAGAATCCAAAAAATGGAAAGTGATTTGTTTGATAATAAGTAGACCATCGTTAATCAAAATTGTTCATGAATAAATAATAGGCTAGTCAAACAAGTTGCCAAATTCCTTTTTTCTTGCTTTTGTATTCTTCTTAACTGCAGTGACAGTGAAGCAGAGTAAAAATAATTATTAGCAAAGTGAGGTAATTAAAGTAGAATGTGTCATATTTGTGTGTAGCTTCTTTCAGAGAAATAATTTTAACTACAAAAGCACATTGTAAATATGTTTTATAAGAAAGTGTCGCTTCTACAAATTACCTCTGCATTTGCAATTAAAATAGGATTTTTAAAATACCTTAGTTTTATTATTTTGCACACAATTGTATATTGATGTATTGCAGTATGTTGATTGATAAAAAATAACTATACAAAAACTCATTCAATTCACAATAATGGCGTTTAAGACTGATTAACGATAACTAAGAATTTTGTTATTCGGATTTTTACATCAATGCATTTGAAGCAAATTGTGATTAATTAGCTCTCCAAACAATTACTTGTAGTCCAAGAGTTTGTAAAACTTTTCTTTTTTTTTAAGAATTTGGTAATGAAGTACATTAATTATAATTTATTGTGAACTGTTGAGTATACTTCCAGCATGTTTGACAGGGACCATTGTTGTCAAATGTATTATTAGCACAAATTATTTTTTTAAATAGAAGTTGGCACTTCTTTCACATCATGTGAGGTGTACAAACACAGAAAACATTTTTACATGCCAGAGATGCATTTTGTCCTGGTTATATTTTGCCTAACAAACTTTTGTTCAATTAATAGTTTTAGGTTAGTATGAAAATGTAATCAGTACTAACCATTTAAGTTTGACAAAAAGCATTACTATTGAAGAGTAGATTGAAATGACCATAAAACTGGATTATTTGTGTATTTCAATGTAATTGATGAGAAAATAAATGGTCCTGTGAAAGTTTTTTCAACATTTTCATTAAGATGTACACTGGTTTCATATGAGACCTACTTCAAATATTATGATTCATAAAAACAGCTGTAGCATTCTATTTACAAGTGTATATATATGTTAAATGTTGCTACTGCAATTGGTGCTGCTCCTTGCTATTCTTATTGCTCTTTATCATCATTATTGTACTCATATTTTTTTATTTTCTCAGTATTTGTGAATGTTGTCTTCACGAGACCTGATGTTGGCTTATTTCCTAACCAAGAAGCAAAAATGTATTTGAGGCATTTTTGATATCTAATCAGTAAGTTGAGCCATTCCATGTTGAGCGCACATTCAGTTACTTAGAATATTTTTTTTTATGAGTATTGTAGCTATTTTAACGAACATTTTGTGATGCATTGATGACCAGACTTTTTTGGTAGTTATGATATGTTCCTCATTACAAAACACTTTGTAATACATGTGACTAACCTACCAAAGAAATGGCCTCAAAAAAAATTATTTCAGTGGGGAAATGCATTAACAGAAAAGGGGTTGTTCAAATGTTCATTGGTTTGTGGATGTTGGACAAAAAGATTACACAAATGTTTGTGACAGTATAATGAAGATTTAAAATAAAAGCCAGGAGATGAGCATTCTTGTGTTTTGATTTCAAATGTTTATTTATTATTCTACTTTTAGGCCTTTATCAATTGTTTTGTTCCAATTTCTTAATCCACACCCTAACATTCAGTCTTTTAATACCTCTCATTGATTCAAATTGTGCAGAAGCTGCAAAGTCAACGAGATTAACTAAGTAATTTGGTGTGTTAGAAATAAAATTTAAAAGGACTTTTGTGCTGAAGTTTGATCATGCAAAATGGCTTAAGTCTCATGAAAAACAGGATTCTTGATTCTTTTTACCAATTTTCAGGTAAAGTGTTTTTGTATATTTGAAATCCAGTGAATATAGTTAAGTAAGTGAATTGTGATATATATGTTTCTTTATTGTTCTCATAATTATAATGTAACATTTAGGTAATAATGCTCTATTCTAATGTGCGTGCGTGAATATTGTAATTTAGGTAATGATAAAGTTGAGGAGAGCAGTAAACTAACTGGAGCCAATTTTGAAATAAAATTTTTACAAGAAATAGAATGGTCATTTGCAAGCTTAAAATAAGTTGTTTATAGGAATTAATATCATTTGTTCCTGCTGTATCTTTTCTTAGCCATTCATTACTACAGTTGATAAACAAAAGTATTAGTTGAAAAACTAATACAAATAAGCTTTTTTAGAATTCAAATCCTGGAGATAAAATAATTATCGTTTTTGCCCGAATGTAAGACAATGTTTTTCCTAAATAAATCTAATTGGAGGAGGTTGTATCTTCAGAGGTAAAGAGTGGATTTGTTTTTACACTGCCTTTCTAAGTCTAGATGCTAATGCTGACGTAACAAATAACTAAGGCGATAAATACCACACGTATCTGTGATTCTAATTGTATTCGCGATTCAGGCCAATATTTTTTTCATGGTCCTATAAAGCGGGGTGTCCATTTTCTGGAAAACCGAGAAAATCAAATTGGAAATTTCTTTGCTCTAGAAAATTCAGGAAATTAGTGGAAGAATAGTTAGAAAGCAGGGAATTTTTGAGATGTTATAAAACTAGTCATTATTCCTAAACAATAGTACTACTGCTTTTCGCCCAATTTTTGTTGAGATTTCTGTAATTTGTACTTTATCAGGACGAAATCGCAGAGCTGACAAATAAGTTTCACGCATGTTTTAATATTTTCAGTAGTGTGAAATAGATACTCAACAAAATCTTTTCAGTGAATTTCTTTTAAATGCTCTGGAGAAGTCAAGGAAATTTGTTTCAGGGCATGAGTGGCCACCCGGCAAATAGATAATTGCAATCAGCTGGCATTGAAAGTGTAACGCAACTGAAAATGAAGTGTTCCTGAGCTTTAGTTACACGATGTTCGACGAGTGCGCGAGACCTTTGCGTTGCCCGACGAATGCGAATCTACGTTTTGCAAAAGATGGAAATGAAAGTAGTTGGGTTACATCAGCACACTTTTTTCGCATTATTTGTTTTTTGGCAATTTTCAGATAATTAAACGAAAATAATACATGCGCCCTGTCTTTATTCAAAGCAAAAACACTGAGCCGTTTTTTTGAGATATTTTACGTCCAAACACAAAGATAAAGTATTGTAATGCTGCGGGAAATATTGACGATTTTTGGAGAGAAAAACTCGTATTTTTGGGAAACCGAAATAGTGAATAAATTTTGTTCTTGTGTATTAAATTAAATCCTCTAAAAGGTGTAGTCTGAATCCACATTCTGAGTGTCTTTGATACCGAAAAATTGATTGATGACAAGTCTGTTTAGCACCGTGTTGACGACTTCTCTAAAAGTAATAATCTCCAATCAATCTGGACGAACTCTAGTCTCTACGTATTTGAAATGGATATTTGATTTATACATTTTACATACTACTTCAACATTTTCTCCAAAATAGCGTCATATTTTTTACTAAACTTTTCTTCAGATATCGGAAAGGACGCGTAGAAAAATGCCGCAGGCCTGACCTTCATTGAAACCTGAATTTTTGAAAACTACAGAAGTTCGTTTGTTTCGGTGGCTTCCTACAACTACAATATTGGAGATATTCTACTTAAAAATTATGTTCTTCAAAGACATTTTAAAACACGATTACATACAATTTTTCAAAAATATTAGTAATTTCCGCGTAATAGTCCGTGAAATTAAGTGACTTTAACACAATTATATACTCAAAACTTGCATTTTTTTCAGAGGCAGAGCAAATGACGCTTTAAAATGGGGCAGGTTTTATTTTCGAAAATTACGAACAAAATTATTATTGCCAAACTACAGTATGGATGATAGAGAATTTTTGGCTAAATGAAATCTGTTTTTTAAAACTATATCTTGTAATAATGAAAATCTGTTGTTTTTTTTTGAAAATTGCATATCCAAATGTACAACTTTTTGTAAGAGTCAGGAGTTCTATGAGACCGGTGGATTAAGGGTAACGTAAGTGGCGTGTAAACTCTAAAATCCAAAATTCGAATCAAGTGCGGAGAAAAAATGTTTGCTGCTTGAAGACAGATTTGCAGGTTCATAATTATTTAGTAGTAGTAGTACTAGTTAGTAGTAGTATTATATTATGTAGCCATTACAAATAACGCGAGAAAGTATGTGCTGGAGTATCACCACTTGTAGAAATTGCCTCTACTTCAAACAAATATTATCTGAAAAACACTAGTATTTTAAAACATTGAACATGACCTCATTTAATGATCTAATTTTAGAACATATTTCATTAAGCAAAAATCTCTGTCGAGTTCTGCAATGTTATTTCTTTTAATTTTCAAAAATTTAAGAGTTCACCGAAAATGGGACATGCACCATTTTCATCAGCGTACTTTGCTCTCTTCGGGAAACAATTAAAGAGAAATTTTGGAGACGTTTTTGAGAAAATTATTTAAAACTTCCCTGTATTTCACGTACAATTATGCGAAAATTGGCCTACACATATTTCCGAAAAATGTTGCATGTCCTTATTTAAAGATGTTGTACAGAGAAAGGGGTGATTTACCTTCGAAGGGAGAGATTGCGGAAGCGGACTAAACAGGCCCTTCTCTGCCCTAAGAAAAATTGGACGCCAGGCCGGGCCGTGAGATGCCCGGGGGGGGGGGGGAGAAAGGAAGGAAGCGGATTTTGACTGAAGACTCGGTGAAATGATTATTAACATTGCGCATATTTATTTAGCAATGAACACAGCTTACGAATGAAAGTTGATTATTACTGAATGAATTATTTGTACAAATGTCTTGAGACAATGGAATGAAAATTAACTTAGATTTAGGTGTTTTACATAATGTATATCTTATTCTGGTGAATCGTCCCTGCTCAGTTCCTGGCACAAAAATTCACAGATCACACAGCGCGAAGGGCGAAAATGAAATTTGTTGTACCTTGAAATATGTAATTATTTCAAAATAACATCGTATAGTATCATACTATATACTCTACGATGGCCCCTTCCAAAATGATCGCCTGGATCCGACCCTGCCCGCAGAGTCCAGCGATGGCTGGGCGCGTAAGCAGCTCGAACGTGCATAAGTGCTCTGCGGAAGTCTGCCAATCGCAGAGCTGCCGAAGACAGCCGTGCCTCGTCGAGGATATCACAAATAATTGTAGTGACTTAAAGTCCGTTTGCTAGTGAAAGATAGCAGAACTACCAAGGGCAGCAGTTACCCGTACGTATTAAGAACGAATGAAAGTCTGCTTGACGCAGACAACAAAACTGCCGAGAGCAGCGTTGTCAATCAAGAGCAACATCGAGAAACATGAGCTAGGTCGGGGGAGTAGCTTATATGCTCGTAGGTTGCGATTTTGCCGTCGAGACTGCTAATGGGACGTGGGAGGGCTTTGGGTTAGAGCAGGCCAGCACAACATCTGCTCCCGCCTCAAGAGCCGGGCATCTGCACGCGAGAGCAGCAAAAGTGCAAGAAGAGAGAGGGGTGTCGCGGTGCTTAGATTGAATACCCGGACGTCTAATGCAATGCTCCATACTGTGAAATTATATGTCCACTTATTAAAATGGGTAATCTCCCGTATTTCTAGCTACAGTGGTCATATGTCACTGTTCATGTTCTTCTGTACTCTGCTACAAATCGGCATATTTTTATTTTCTATTTTTATATTTTTTTTACTTTATGCTCGTGATTCAAACAATATTTTAAAGCAGTGACATTTTTACACTGTAATATGTAACTCTAACTGACAAAATTTACAATTTAATCATTGATTTTTCATCAGGAATGTTATAATCTCCAAGTGAAAGCAAAACGGAGGAAATCGAGAGCAGTCTCTTATATACAGATGGATTTAAAAATGAAATATAGGCAATCCCAAGGGTAATGTTTTGCAGCACATATATTTGTGACCATTTCCCTCATTATGAAACTAAGATATACCAACGAACATCTCTTACGATATTGTGCGGGCAATTATGAGATTATCAGTATTGTTAAATAGAACGCATAGGGCCAGCCTGTTTGTACGATGCAAACGATTATGAATGGTGTTTGTTGATTTGATATTAGAAGTACATAATGCACTCTTGTCAGAAATTAGAACAGAAGGTAATCATTATTTTTAAGAATGTGATTTTTAATATAAGAATAGGATAGAACCGTCTTATTCAAGTAAATATCGTTAATGAAAAAATAATTTATTACAGTGATCATCAAAAAACTTAATTCGGTTCGAATTGCGCATTTTCATGGTATTTGCAGTCAAGTTGTGAAATGAGCACTGAAGGACTCGCACGTCCGGCAACAGAGAGAACCCTGGACCGGAAACGCCGCACCAATGCTGCGAGTGCCCGCCGCAGGCAGTACTACAAGCCCTGATGCGGGCTGGCATCCCATCGTACAGGTGGCGAATACTGTCCTGCGGTACACTGTTCTACGCTTCCTGCACCGCCTCACGCAGAGCAGGCAGAGTTATTGGGGGAGTTGCAGCACGGGTCAGGCGTTGGCCCATCTTGTCCCACACGGTCGATCGGGGACAAATCCGGCGAGCCCGGTCAGGGCAGTTGACGAAAATCGCAGAGAGCGTGTTGCGTACACAGTGTG